ATTATTATATACAAAGTAAAACTTTTGGCGTCCCTAAACGAAAATCAATTCGGCGGCTTTTTAAATAACCTAATTCCTAAGCTTTCGAAAAGGAAATTTAAATCAAAATTAGCAAAAAGTAAGAACAAAAAATCAATGCGCAAGTACTAAAATTTAGAGGCCCCTAAAAATAGTTTATTTTTGACCGCCTCTTTTACATAGACCTTACTATATTTTTTTTATTCTTTTTTAAAATATATATCTCGAATTTTATTTTTTTATATTAGAAACTAAAAATTTTACTAGCTCTAATTTATGGATCTGAATAACTAGCATTTTTAAATTTTAAACTTTATTACCACATATTATGGGAAAAAATCTTTAAAAAATTAGGTAACGTTCACGTATTTTTTTTTTTTTAAATGACGAATTTATTGTTTCAAAATGTAATTTTAAAATAAATGTTTTAAAATTGTTATGGAGATCCGTGGTCTATATTCCTCAAACTTTATTGTACAAAAAAGATTTTATATTTATAAAAAAGATTTTAACTTATTAAAATCCAATTTGGTTTAGAATTTTATAATAATTTCCACCATGTCATTACCAGAGGGGAAAGCTTCCACATAAAATTAATGTTTTTACAAATATCACTTTAAATTAATAAAAATTATCCCCCTGCACTTCTTCTTCTCCCATCATCCCAAACCAGAATATTTAAATTTTGTCCTTATAAGATACAAAATATTGATGTCATATTTGGTAAATTTTTACAAGACAAAATTATAATTGATATTAAATTTAAGAAATATTACTTTATAATTTAACAGCTTTTATATCAAGAGTTTAACTTGAAAAGGTTTTATCAACATTTATGGTGTTTTGATATTATTATCATTATTAATAAAGCTAGCACCAGAGTCTTGCTAAACCAGGGCACTAGCCGTAACCACTAGTATATCATTATAAAATTACCAATTTTTATTTATCTTTAGTTATTTTGTGGAGCTACTTCTGTCTATTATAAGGCTGGAATTCTGGTTTTGAAACCCCTAAGGTGTTTTATCAAGGGCAAAATAAACACTTCTATAAAAATTTAAAACAATGATATAATTATATTCATAAATTGTGTTAGTACCCACCAAAAGTATATAGTTAGGGTATTTATTGATATTAATAATTCCCAAGATATAAATAGGTATGAAAGTTTTAGACAATTTTTAAAAATGTGGTTTGTCTAGCTCCTGTCCTGTTTTATTTCAATAAAAAGTGAAAGAAATTACTTATACTAATTTTATATGCTCAAAAAATTGAGCGCCTTTTTATTATGCTGTCAAAAATTAAATTTGAATAAAAAAAAATTTTTTTTGTAAAAATGTACAAAAAGACTTAGCCAAGTCTTAACCCTAAATTATTTGTCTCAATCTTCGGCGAGGTTGTTAATTATAAGCTAAAAGATTGTCTAGGCCGCATTGAAGTTGTCCAATCACTACATTTTTTTATTATTAAACTTTGACCTAACTGCGTCCTAGAATTTGGTTTCAGTATTTTTTCTTTTCGAAGACTTGGAATCGAACCCTTCGACTTTATTTGGTTGTCTATCGACCAAATAATTTAAAAATTAAAAATAAATTATAAAAATAATCTGATTAGGCCCGAGTTTCTTTAACTATTGTAGCGTTATGTTTCTCTGAATCCATCAGCGTCCTAGATGTTTATTTATATTCCGTTCTTTTTTACCGTTCAAAATCTAGTCGAGAAATTAATAAATACTGGCCCTGGACTAAATATTAGCGTAAAACAGATAGTTTTTCTATATTATTTTTTTATGGCATAATGCTAATTTTATCTTATTTTGTAAATAACTTTTTTTTCTTTTCAGTTTACCAAACATTAAATGAAATTCAATTAAAATCAAACATTGATAAAATTTTTAGAATAGACTTATTCAGTACCATTTTAATCATGAGATTGGCCAAAATTTTGTTGCTAATAATTTCCTTTATTCTGGCTACTATACTAATGTTTAAAGCACTCGAAGGCGTTAATAGAGCAGAAACATTGGCATATATTTTAAAATTTGTCTTCCAATTGTTTAGCTAACTTTAACGGAGATAATATAGAAATTAGAGGCCTACAATGGGCTGGTTTTAGCCAAAACGCCCCCTCCACTCGTTGTTTTGATAAATTTTAACCCTCCGGCCCGTCCACCCATTATTTCAAAATATATATAAACCCACCCACCAATTGGTTTTAAAATAATTTTTTACCCGCAAAAATTCCTTTACTTTCAATTTTTTTTAAGCATTTTATAAAAAAATGATTCAGATATACCTGCAAAAATATTTTATATTTTGATAAAATACAATAATCTCATTTATCATTCATGTCACGACGAGACTGTAAAAAAACAGAGATCTTGTCATACATTATATAAATACAATTTGTATTCCATCTTATGCCAATATTTTGTTCTAGTATCTTTAGATATTTCACATTCCCCCCTTTTTTTTTTAAATATATCGCCAACGATTTTGCAGTAAAATATGCTTTAATATTTTCCAAATAAATTTGATTATATCACATTTAAAAATAAAAGGAAAATAATTTTTATTTAGCAAAGAAATTAGAATATCACTTAAATTTTAATGAGTATTATAAAATTTTATATTAGCTCCTTGATCTGTCACAAATCCAATAAAAAAACACATGTATTATGAATAAAATAATGCCAAATAAGTAATATGATTCCAATAAATTTTTATATATTGAATAACAATATAATTTCACTAAAAATATTTATAATGTATATTTATATCTTGAATAAGCGATGACAAAAACATCCACTTTCGCGTGATACCCATTTTAACAATTTTCCTTTTCCTTTAAATTGTCTACTAGAGATCTGAATTGGACCTAAATATCATTGGGTCTGACCCGAAATAGTTTTAAAAATTTTTGATAGCCCGTATCAAAATTATTTTCAAAATCTAGGCAAACCTAAAACCTAAGTAAATTCGGACCCAAGGGGAGGGTGGGCTGGCCGGGTCTTGCAGATCACTAATGTCTACCAAGCGGATTAAATTAATATTCAATTAAGCACTAAATATTGATAAAATTTACAGAAAAAAACATTGATAAAATTTTCAGAATAAATGCTTTCAGTCGTTTTTTAATCTTAATTTTGGCAAAAATCTTATTACTAATAATTTTTCTTTTATATTAGCTACTCTGGTTAAAGGCACTAATAACGCCAAAAAATTGCCATATTTTAGAATAAGCGCTTCCAATTGTTCCAAGAAAAAATCAATAATAAATAATAATTTTTTATAGGATGGACCCAGCCGAAGGCCTGTCAAATAAAGGCGAGTCCCGAAAAAATAAAAAAAATTTAATCCACTCCCCATAAAAAAAGGTCAAGGCTATGCCACTTGGGTTTATATCTATTTGAGGATCATTAAGATGGACGAGCATGGGCTAACGGGTTAAAACCCGCCTGTATTTGTAGGCCGAACTCAATGGCCGTCAAATAGGAGTTTGGTTTGGAGACCAAGCCATGTAATCTTCGTAATCCCCCGCCCCGTATAAATCATGACTACGCCACTGACAAATTAATTTATTTAATTTAAATATTCTATAAATATTGCAACAAATAAGATCCATATTAAAAGGACCAGTCATTCTAAATCTCATTCAGAAATAACTATGAGATTTGGACTGACACCACACACTAAGCGAAAAAAAAAATTATCTGATATTTTTATCTTTTTATAAATAAAAAGGTATCATCATCATAAAATTATATTTATTATTGAAATAAAATATTTATAGAAAGTAAATAATTTTTAAATACAATATATATTACTATGGCCTTTATATTCTAAATTTTATATTTACTATACAATTATTTTTTCTACAAGTGAATAAGTATTAAAACTATAGACTTTTATCATAAACTCTTAACAAGCCAAAAAGAACATTTTGTAAAGACGATGGTTCACATTTATTTGTTTTTTACATAATTGAAATTAAAAATATTATATTACTATGTCAAATATTTTATTTTAGTTATGGGTTTCTTGAAATTTTTTATTTGATATTGACTTAAAAATCATCTGCATTAACAAAAATACAGCAAATGGTGTCATTTATTCTCATTTTGATAAAATTTATATGGCAAAAGAGTCATAGTCTACTCTATAATTAAAAATCTACACCTATAAATGATGATTTATTTATATTCAAAAATTATTAATATTTATTTAGTTTTCTATATATTAAAAATAAATAATAATAATGTGGAATTTGCACTTCAAATGACCTATTTTTACATATTAAATAAATGCGAAAAAAGAAATTGAAAAAAATTAGGTGAAGTTTATTGATTCATCTTTTGAAAAAAGATAAGAATTTTTTTTTATAAAAATAAAGTTATAAACAATTTGTTAAATCCTAAACCGTAAAAAATAATTTTAATAAAACTTTACCATTGATTAATTTAAGTGCTGATAACTTAATAAAACAATAATTCTGATTTTTTTAGAGCTCAATAAGACAGTGTCCAAAATATCAAAAAATTCGATTTGCAAATTTTTAAAACTTTATAAATAGGAAATAAGATTTTATTTTAAAATAAAAATTAAAACATGTCCAAAATATAATTCTAGAAAATATCAAAAATTTTAGATCCGATTTCTTTAAAATTTTAAAACTTCTGAATTTTATAAAAAGGATTTGAACATAGCAAAAATTGAAATTAAAATTTTGCATATATAGGTAAAGCCAGCCTATTTATCAAATATATCTCATGACATACCACAAAATTACGAATTGACCAAACGTGAAACATATATAAATAAAAAATATTATGATACAAATAATAAAGTAAATAGTGAAGACTATCTAAATTTGGATGGAAATAAAGTCTTAGGTATATACAGCAAACATTTTTCTTAAATTATGTATGTAATATAAAAATGTAATTAGATGCAAAAGTTTTTTGTGATTTAGTAACCAATGTTATGACAGTAGAATTTCAATTTGCCAAAAAATTTACTGGGTCTGCGTATACAAAAGGATATTATAAAGTATCTGGGTGTAAAACTCCTGGAGAAGGAGTTAATACTCTAATGTTTACTTTTCCTTTAGATGGATGTGGTACAACTATTCGAAGTCAGGTTAAATCAATTTAGGTGAATTCATAAAATCTTATCAAATTAGGGAGGCTATGGTGATAATAAAGTTTGGTATCATAATACTGTCATAATTATGTATGAGACTTATTTGGGAATTTTGGAGAGCTTTGACAGATCTTTTGAATTACGATGCGAATTAGATGACAAAATTAAAAAAGTATCGTCACACGTTACTGTTCCGTAAATTTATGACAAATTATTGATTTTACTAAATTTTGCTTATAGTATGCTGGCATCTCAATCAGTGGGTTTTAAATTTGAGATGCCAAAAATATGGATGAAATTAGTGGCAGGAAAAGATCCATCGGCTCCTCCCGCGCCTTATCTAACCATAGGTGAAATCGGGACCATGGTTGTGGTTATGGAAAATCAATCAAGTAGTCTTTTCTAATTCATATTTACATTATTTTTAATATAGATAGGTATGATTTTTATGCTTTTCAGTGCTCCGCTCATGATGGTAGTGGAAAAAGTCAAGTCATTATGCTAAATGATCTGGGGTTTATTTTTAAATATTTTTTAATACATCAGTTTTATTTGAATGTTTTTCAATGTTGATTTAATATCTAATAAATAACAGTTGCCCGATCCATCGCAAATTAGTAGGGCCTCAACAGTTCGATAAACTACGATCTCATGAAATGATATCATTTGCTCATTTTAAAGTATTTAAGTTTCCAGATGTAGAAAACGTTTATATAGAATGTTTTGTCAAATTATGCTTTCAACAATGCCCCAAAGTTTATATATATACTATGCATATTAGTAATATATATTTCTTAGGAAAAATGTTGGATAATTAAAGGCCATAGGGAACGATTTCGACGTCATATTTACTCATATAATGATACAAATAAAAATGCATGGACAAACAATTCAATCGAAGTTAAAACATATCAAAGTGTAAATGTCATATTTCCCAAATCCTCTGAATCAAATTTCAAAGGTATTTCAAAAATTATTTATAATACTTATATATCTTTAGCATATTTTTGGTAAATAGGTTCTAGCTTTTTATAATAAACTATAAAGGGGTCGCTGGAGAGGGGCAGAAGAATGCTCAACCTAACATTTTAGAATATCTAAAATATTTCCTATCTAGCAAAACATTTTTTGAGCCAGAGTTTAGAACCAGATCCTGGAAATTCAAAACAGGAACAGGAACAAGAACTTTGAATCCCCATCGAAACCGCGTGAAATCTAAGGACCAGTACCCAGAACTTCTTTTTTTTTAATCCGGAACCATTCCTATCTTATAAAAAATATCCAGAACCTGAACTAAAATCTTTCAGTTCAGATTCTAAATCTAATTTATACACATCTAAATAAAAATTAACTTATATAGCGTTGTTCAACATAATAGCAATTTACTACACAACGTCCAAATTTTATTATATATTTAAAATATAATAACCCAACCCATATCTCTCGGTTAAAATCGATATTGCCGTTACAACTGCTGAGTTTATTAAATTTCCATTGGGTTCTCTCTAATATTCAGTATTATTTTATTATTATATTAAACCTATCCCATATCTAGCAACTGTTAACCTTGTCTTAACATCGTTTAAGAGATTGGTTTAAAAAAACTGGTCCAGTCATAGATTGAATCCGGGTCTTGCTTAGTCCCACCTAACCTTCTCACCGCTACGATTAAAAATTAATGATTTTTTTGTGTTTTTTTATACAGGAAATCCTAATAACACAATGTGTCTGACGTTCATTATCATTACTTTTTTTATAAAAGGATAAATCATTACCTTTTTTGACACGCCTAAATAATAAAATTTAGGGACAGCACCGGCTACATGCATTTTTTTAAACTGTAATGAATATTTTGTTATATTTCATGTTTTAGTTTAAATAGTAATAATAACATATATTTATAATAATCATTTAATAATAAAAATTTATTCTCTTCATATTCTAATAATATTAGTGAAAAATCGCATATTTTTAAAGTTAACCTTAATAATTTATTCAATATTTTTTAAAAAAATTTTAATGTTGGAACGGGGGCTGAATAGCTAACGTATTAATAAGAACTTATAGCATACATGTCGATCAGAAAGTGGGTGTTAGTTTATGTAATAATTCGTCATTTTGGCAATTTCATATTGTGTAATTTCCCTCTGAGACTACTTATTAAAACCAAGTTTATTTACAACTAAATTTTTAAAATACGGGTCATGCTTAATACCCAGGCGTCAATTTTTTAAATCTTGGCAATACTAATTAAGCCAGAACACATTCTATCTGGGATTATATTTAATAATTCATAATACGAAATTTAAATGTTTTTTACATAAAATATGAGCACTATTAAACTTCTATAGTTTTGAATTATAAATAGGTATAATATACATTTTTTATTTATTAACTTCCTGCATTATATATATTTATAATATAATAATTGAACCTATCACGTTATTTGTGGAATTATCAATATATAAATATGGAAGTAAAAAATAGCTATTAATAAACTAAAACAAAGTGGTAATAAACTCTAATCATTAGGGCCAATTTCAATTAACTCCTTGCGATAACATAATATAAGATTATACATTATAAAATGTTATTTAATTTAATATCTAATAGCCGTAAACATTAGATAACTATAAGTATTAACGTATTTCATACGTTTTTTATTTTTATTTTTGCTATCCTGGCTCTCCCGTTTGCATGGGCCTGCTTTTAATATACAATGTATTTTTGTGATTTTTTAAATTTTCTTGCCGCAAAATCATTTGGGGATAAATTTAAAAATTACTGGGGTTAAATTATTAGAAAACAATTAACCCATTATTTGAAAATTTTATTATCTAATCCATCGGAACCTCATCCATAATTTCCCACCGCGAATGTCTTTGCGCAAAATTATTATCACGAGCGCATAAATGAAGACAACATATTCAATATCAATTTACCCACTAAAGTTCCTTAAATCATAAACCTTAAATGTTTTAAGGATATTTTATTACTTATCTTTATCGGAACCCTTAGGATATAACCTGAAATGTAAATTATATATAATGTCTTATATGATATATAAAAATTGAAAAAAAGTTTCATAGAGATTCATGTCATTATTTTATAAGCCTCCCAATTATAATTTTTAGATATTGTACATCGATATAACCTACTAATTCATTTGAATAAACATCCCGTTTTTCTTCATTCCACATTTCAATAAGAAATAACTGAAGTTATGATTAATCAAAAAAAAATTCAAAATATTCTATTAGATTAGATGATATGAAGAATAAATTATGGAAATAAATCATTTGATCTTCAGTTGTTTTGGTTTTTTATTTTTGCTGATTTCTAAGAAATTTTATAATATAATTTATTTTATACTTGTTTGAGTATCCGGTTTTCCAATGTAGGACAAGAATGATTAAATTTTAACACAAATGAATATGAAAACAAAAAATTCTATAGAATAATCTAACTAAACAATATAAAAAAATTAAAAAACTTAGTTTTCGCCATTTTTTAAAAATAATATCAGTTCAATTTAAATAACGCGTTTTTATGAAAAACAACGCTAAACGTTTCTTCTCAATTTTTAAGCACATCTACTCATTTTTTCTAATAAAATGGAATTAAAATAAATCAGGATTTTTTGAAAATAATTATAAATAGGAAATGTTTCAAATCAATAAAATAAATAGTTTTAATATCGGGAAACCGAGTAAATGGGTTAAATGTTTATTTATTTACTTTTACATATTTAACACAACTTTTTGTTGGATAGGGGGACAGGCTTACAAATATCTTTTAAAATAAAAGTTCTATATAGTAATCAATATCAAATGAAAGAGAATTCAAAAAATTGAGCGCTAATCAAATAGACCTCAGATCAAGGCCAGGGCGAGAGAGTAGGCGTTAAAAGGATCTACTAAATATTAACAATAGTGTGTAAATGATAATAAAAAAATTTATAAAAAATAACTACGATTGTAATTGTGAGATTAAATAGGGGTCTTATTCAATTTTCTCATTTTGTAAAGTGCAAAAATTCTTAGGAGCTGCCATAAATCTGCCATATTCTAAAGGAGAGGTAGGATTTTCAAAGATTAAAATGATAAAAAGTGGGATTAAGTGCGACAACTACATTTACATTTTATATACAAATATTGGTAAATATTTTTGTCAAATTACCAGCTTATAAATCTCTATTTAAATATTGTGTAAATTTATTAAGTCAAAATATTTAAAAATTAAAAGCAAATCTACATAGGAAGGAATATATTTTATTTTAAAGTTTAAATTTCATGAACTCTTCGCAATTCATCTCAAAATTCTGCTTTACCATTAATTCGGCCTCTAATAAATCAAATGAGACCGAAGAACGATTTTTCGCCCAGTCATATTCATTAAACTTATCTGTGCGATAACATTTGAATGTAGAATTAAAAATATACCATTACATATTTTTTAGGCTTATATTTACATTTTTATTCAATCAAAATATTCAAACTTGATTATATCGTTCATCATGACTTTAAGATATTTTTATCTATAATTATTAAAATCATATCTTTTTTCAATATGGTTTGATAATTTCAGTTATTTCTTTATATTCTTCAACTTTGTCAATCAGAACCAGTGTAATATCATCGCTGTTAAATTTGAAGGCTGAATATTTCTAAAAACTAATTGTAAATTATGTCAACTTGCTTTATTAGTACCAATTGAGTGCACGAATAATAGCCAGTAAAAGGAAAAAATTATTAGTAAGAAAATTTTGGCAAACTTATAATTTAAGCGACTGAAATAATTTACAAATATTTTATCGATGTCGTGTTAGACAGTATAAAAAGATTAGTAAAATAAGAAAAATGGCCAATTTTGGCACCATACATGATAGCATGGAAAATAGCGGGTTTGTGCTAATATTTATTAATTCTTCAATCCATTTTTTCACACACAAAACCGTGGTATAAGCCTAATAAAATCTATATCACGCATTAAGAGTAAAATCAACCAAATTTCTGGAAGTGGAAGTTATACATTAATTAGTTAGAAAATTTATTATATTGATGCTTCAATTCGTTCGGTAGATAGTTTTTAAAAAAGCGCATTACTGACAAAATAAGATAAAATTGCCGCGTCATGCGAAAACAAATATTATAGAAGCGCTTAATATTTTTGGGTGAGCTCATACCATATAAAATGCCAGATTATTTACTAATCCATCAATCAGTTTTTCCAGTCAATAAACAAAAGCAAGCACTCCTTTAAGTATAAACCAAAGATTTATTAGCATTACTAAAATTTGCATCAAAATTTAAGATTGGAAGAAGAATAAGAGCAATTATAATAAAAAAATTAAATAAAATATCTAAAAAAAAATATTACTATCATCATTTATAAAATCAACTTTTTATCCTAATTTTAAAATGTGAGGGTTTAAAAAAAAGGCTAACTCGATATTTTAGCCAAAAGTGAATTATCCAAGCTTGGAAATTTTTCCGACAGATGACAGAAAGCGAGTCATTTAACAACACTTTATTTCCGTTTTTCAATTATAATTTGTAAAAAAAAATTCTGAAAATTTTATTTCTAGATTTATAAGATTTTTATTCTTACTTTTTTAAATATGATTTCTCTGAGATTATTTTATTTAAAAAATTATGGAGGGAGTTTTATCAATTTAAAAGAAAATTTTCATCTAGATAACAATATAAAAGTATTATGAAAACAAAAATTATTTTACCTAATCATATACCCTTGTCCAGGCCACTGGTCAGAACACTTATTTAACAAGGCAGTTATACTGTAAAATCCAAGCTGATATTGTTTTGCTTATCATATCCTACATAATTAATAGTAAATGGATTATAATTACATTGGTTTTAAGCATTTAAATTTTCATCTAAAACCTTATAAAATTAAAATAAAGTCTAGATAGGCTTCTGCTAATTGGTTTTCGAAGAATGATTTTAAAATTATTGGTGGATGTTTAGAGAAAATACCTCAAAATGTTTATAAGTTTTTCAATTCAGGCACAAGTGAAAAGAAAAACATCTCATAGACATTTCTTCGTAAATTTTTTAAATAAACTAGTTTTTATAAAAATTTTAAGATTTATGACTATTCAACGGGATATAGCGTTATTTTTCGCGAGACAGAAATTTATTTTTTTATTTTGGGTTATCATTATTTAATAT